TCATCCTCCTCCTGATCCATATCCTCATCCTGATCCTCATCCTCCTCCTGATCCTCCTCCTGATCCTCATTATCATCCCCATCCTCGTTCTCAGGCTCATAGTTCTCATCCCTCTCATATTCCCCTTGCAAATGTGCCTGCAGCTCGTCTTCATCACTACTAATCTCTAACTCATCCTCACTTACATCAACTGGTAGTGCCAGCTCTACCTTCTTCTTCCTTGAAGAGGCATAGAAAGATGTAACGTTCATTCTGTAAATGGAGGAAAACATTTGTGAAAAATATGAGCATGTGCTCTGCAAACAAGATTCACAAAGTTCACTGTAATAGTAGACTATAACCTGCACATATACAGTAATAACCTGAACTTTACTTTACCACAACTTTAACATCAAATGTATCTTGGTTAAATTGTAGAGATCTATGATGACTAGTATGCTTTTGAACAGTTTATACCTAAATACACAATACCACAATATCATGGTGAATCCATAATGGTACAGTGTTGCCTCAAGGCAACATTTGCAATTTACCATAATGGTACGATGTTGCCTCCAGGCAACATTTGCATTTTAACAAGTTTCTGTAACCTAATTAGCAAATAAAGTACATTAAACTATTATAAATTAAGCTTTACTCACCTATTATTGTGAATACTTTTTTTTCCAGACAAAATATGTGCAGGAAATGACGTTTTTAGACAACATTCGAGGAGAGAAATGGCTGAGCTGATCCTTGCACTGCAAAAATCATCCATTTTATAACAAGAAAAAATATATGTGATTTTAGTGAGTTTATACAGACTTGAAACAAGTGTAATAATCTGCCAGTGCAGTGAGATAATTAGACTTATTAAGAATTCTTAAAATAAGAATAATAATTCTTGAAATAAGAATGTGTGAAATAAGAATAATTCTTGAAATAAGAATTCTTAAAATAAGAATAACAATTCGTGAAATAAGAATTCTTAAAATAAGAATAATAATTCTGGTAATAAGAAATATATGGATGCTAGAAAAGTGGCAAACCTGAAGTAAGCAGAAAAACACTTATTCCATGCACAGGTATAAGCCAAATATACTCAAAACAAGTTGTCAAATTTTCTTTTACCATTTGTTTATTTCTGAATTCAAGTAGACAGATCTCAAAACAACAACCTAGCATGCATTTGACAAAACGTATGAATTAATCATGACGATAATTTTAAACTTAAATTATAACATTGAAAACCACTCGACATTACTTTGTGTTAGATAACCAAAAATGAAGAATTATAACTTTTCTCTTATTGTTGAACAAAAATTCTCAAACACTGAATGATAGAAAGTCATGTCTCTTGTGTCCAAAGTATCAATGCAAAAACAGATACTGGTACCAGTATCAATTGTTAACAATAACTAGCCCAACTACCACCTAGCTCACCCACATTGTATATGTCTAACGGTACGTCCACACAGCAGCTTTTCAAAAATCTTGAAAATCTTGGAGCTGGGCGTGTCTGAAAGCTTGGGGATTTCGCGACCAACAACCAATCACATGAATCTCCCGCCCCCGACATACAAAGCAAAAAAACCCGGTTCTTCTCCACTATTTCTTTTAACATTTTGAACATTTATGAGATGAATGTCTATGGTGCTATTTTATGCTACATTCCATGCTGGCTAATGATACTGTCTATGCTTGCTAGCAACGAAGTAAAGTAGCAACGAAGTAAACTGGATATAAAATCCCCCAAACAAGCGAAAACCTACCAGTTTCACCCACTGTCTCTGCCACCTCCCTCCATGCCTCGCTCCTCCGGTTTGTATCCCGGTAAGTAAATAGGGACTGGTCATAAAGAACCGGGTGATTTGCTACCGCAATAACTAATTTCTCCTCCATTTTTGTGGAATATAGAAATGAACTGCGGGTCTGGTTCTCCCAGCTTGCACGCGGTTTGATTGGCTAGCGCTTGAACTGTCAGATTTGCATAAACGGATCTGATTGGCTGTCGCTTCCAGCTCAGCCTCAAAAGTTAAACATTGTTCAACTTTGGAATCCTGAACATCCTGGAAATCCTGGAAATCTTCGCCTCGCCCCCCCACAATGCAGTTCGGCGACAAGCGAGGGAAAGTGACGTCATCCCCATTCAAAGTCAATGGGCGGAGACGCGCTGGAAGCGGTGGACAAATCGCTAAAAGCTGCTGTGTGGACGGGCCGTAAGCGAGCATGAGTTGTGCCCAGCAAATGGGCACGACTCAATATATAGACCTAAAAATGACTCTGGCAAAGAGCAAAGTTGCAATTTTCAGCTGATCATTTGTAAAGTGCAATGATCACATTTGTATTGCTCGTTGCACCTTAGAAACAAAGGTGGGCATCCTGCTGGCTGAATGTGGGCAATGCCCACAGAGAGGTGGCTATGGCAAGTGACCCTTACTTTGAAGGTGCAGCTACCTGCAGTTTGAGGAAAGGAGGGCTGGAAGGAAATTATGGGCTGAATATTGCAACTTTGTTTTTGTACATGAGTTGTTTTCTGGGATGTTATTCTCTCGTAGGCTAAAGGAGATAGCAAAACTCTGATAAACATCCATAACATAGAACTACTAAAGCAGACCCTCTACTACCATTATGTATACTGTATATTGCATCTATGATTGAAGTTATAATGCTTTGCATGTAGTATGTGAATCCAAAGACAGCACCATTTTATGTACTAATGAAAATACAAAAACATGTCTTCCAATAAAATAATGAAAACAAATTGCTTAACCTCCTGCTGAAAGCTGGCTTACATGACCAGCAGTAAAACAGCTCTGCACTGATGTGCCGATTTCTTCCAATGGAGGGAACGGTGCCAACAAGCTCCAAATTGCCACAGTGCTTACGCTTAAAGTTAAATTATTTCAACTTTACTATCAATTGCCGCTGAGAGAATGTCCTTTCATGACAAGGCAGCTTAAAAAACAGCAACATATTTTGTTAAATGTTGTCCTAATTGTGAAAAGCGACCCCATTATAGACTTACAAAAAGGATAAAGCATTGAAGTAAATGGCTTTATAGACACAAGTAAAAAAAACATCAAGATTTGAATGTGACACAATAGCTCACCTGAAGAACATGTATCAATGCCTCACTGGCATGTCCCAATTTCTTAGGCGGTGCAGCTGGTGAAGGAAAGAGTGTAGGGAGTGCCTTGAACAAGGCAATCGAGAATTCCACTATGAGAAGAGAGAAGAGAAAGTGAACAGGTGGATGGAAAGACAGACACTGTATTAACTGTTTTAGCTCACACAATCTGTATTAACATAACTACAGTTTAGACACATGAAACAAAGGATAATGCATATAAAGTCATATAAATATATAACTGACTTAAAGATCAAATGCAAAGCTTTTTGTATAATTGCCAGTACAATCGAAATCATATAGCTACAACACTATCTAAGATATTGCAGTATTAAAATCGGAGATAATATGAGTCTGGCAATGCGCAATATTAATTTTGTTCAACCCCCAACACCAAGTCCGACGATTTATTTTCTCCGCCGCTCCTCCGCAAGATGGCGGCGCGTGACGTCAGATGTGCCAAACATATTTCCACCTGGCTTATCAATCACAGCGGCTTCCGCCGATAGTACAACTAGTTTCGTCTATCATGTCTGATTCTGAGTAGACTATAGACTAAAAGCTTTAGGAATCCAAACTATAACATATAATAAGTACCCTGTATCAAGATTGATGCAAAACAAGTGAAATTTGACCTTTTTAGAGAGGTTTAGAAAAATAAAGTCCAGGCGCTCTGAGTGAGCCTCTGAATTAGCCCCGAGCGAAAAATGCTCGCAGCGGCTCACAGCGGCTTCCGCCGATAGTACAACTTAGTTTCGTCTATCATGTCTGATTCTGAGTCGGAGGCCACCCAATATCTGGAGTATGTTGTCGACATCCAACCATATCTATACGAGCCTCTGATGTCGAAGAGGAAATACAAGGAAACGTCACCTGATATCACCGATGAAAGTGCTGATGGCGATGATTCAAGTTCGCCATCTGAGGAAGAGGCCGAGGGTGCTGAGAATTGGTGTAGATGTGGAAACTGCCAGACCATGCCTACAAGCCGAGAAAACAAGTGCTGCCACAACTATGGGAAAGTGAAGGAAGAGATGGGAGAAGAAGTCTAAATCACCAACTGTAGGACGTTCGACATTTTCCGTTATGAGCGGAGGAGCGATGAATGAGCTGCAGATAAACTACAATGCTAACAGTGAATTAGCCCCGAGCGAAAAATGCTAACCTATCACTCCTAGCGCCCTTATTACTTATCCTAGCGCCACATCCAACACATTGTTTATGATCGTAAAGACACAGAATCTAACGGTGCCCACCTCTATAAGCAATAAAACTGCAATTCCGTTATCTGCTGTGCTCCGTGTGCTTTGAAATCTAATCAAAAGTTGTTTACCTCAATTCTTTGGCGTTTCTGCATCGCCCGGCTCTTTCGTTCTTTCAGTGGTTTCTTGTGCTGAAATATGGAGGGGACGGCTCCGGGTTTCAGCCTCCGACGTGCTATTAATGCTTCTCCACCAACAGACTTCATGATAGCAGGATCAACGTCGTATGGTATGGAGGACGGAACATGACTTAAGTATAAATAAATAAATGTATGAAGAAATACAGGAATAAATACGTAAATAAATAAATAAATACAGGAATAAATAAATACAGGAATAAATAAATGACGAAATAAATACAGAAATAAATAAATGTTGAAATGAATACACAAATAAATAAATAAAAGAATAAATGCATAAATAAATATGGAAATAAATACATCAATGTATAAATAAATAAATAAAAGTCGAAAATAAAACAGAACACACGTTATTATATATCTTTCATTTATTTCTACATTTACGCGACATACATTTATTATTTATGTATTTATGTGTCCGTATGCTAATGAGGTGGGCGGTCCTAACCTCAGTCTGAAGCAGGATTCGCCAATTGTTGGAGCCAGGCAGAAGCAATAGATTCGTGGCAAGTCACATCTGTACATTCTGTGTACATTGTCGGCAACTCGCTAATAATGGCTTCGGCTGGAAGGGCGCTGGCAGACCTTCTGCGGGATGCGGCTAACCAGCTTGAAAACTGTAAGTGACTCATGTTTTGGTCTAGTGTAAGACTGATATGACAATGTAAAAAAACTGATCTGTGTGTTAAAATGCCAATGTACAGTTTTGTACCCAATGTGGCGCTATGTTATGTTTTGTGCAGCACCAAGGACCGCTAACGCGCCAGTTTCGTCTCCTCCTCCTCATCCGTTACATAACGGGACTCCCAGACACCCAGTGGACGGTAGGTCTTTGCATCAAACTATTTTTAATGCAAATCCGATCAGTTTACTAAGTTTATATCACCAATGACAAGTTATTTGATTCAGTTTCTGTCCACCAGCTTGAAGGGATCATTATATTTATAGTGTGTGATGCTAACGCTAACCAACATTTCCCCCCTGGATTCTCGTTGAATCATTATTTCCTTGCACTCAATATTGCTTATCTTCTTAACTTGATCCTAGCCGAAGTTTCAAGACTGTTTGGCCCCTACATGGGAGGGAGGAGGACGGCAGGGCGGCAAACCCTTTCTGGTCCTGCACACCTGCATTCTTATACCCATTTATTCTGTTGCCTTGAGGACAAGAATGCAGCCTTAGTCCCCAACCGATACGCCAAAGAAAGACTCGCTGCTGCTGGCTTTGGTGAAAAACGGCTCACATTTAAAGGTCTGTCAGTCATTAGAATGACGATTATCAATCGCTCTTTCCTTTTCTGTCTATTTTTTATGGTAAATGTACATTTGTGATATATAAATATATTGAGTTACCCTTACAATCATAACATTATCTTTATGTTAGATCTCTTATGTGTATCATCTATTTCTAGGCAGCCATACAGATTCTAATGAATTCCTCGAATTCTTGATGGATGCCTATCCAAAACTGCGGAACGGTGGCGGTTTCGAGTTGCTAAAAATATCTGGCACTACGAGAAGTCGCCACTTGATTGTGATCCCCTGTCCCAATGAGGGTTACTATGTCAGATATTTGAAGGACCCTCAGACCCAGATTGGCCATTCTACGGTTTTCATTAGACCAATGCAAAGAACCCTGAATTTGGACCCTGTAAGTTCCTCACTTCTATAGTGGTGTCACAATATTAAAGTGGAATCTGTGACTTACAGTAACATAATTGTTCGCTTGTGATGTAGTTTAAAACTATTTTGTTTACAGGCATGTCGATCAGAAGGCGACAACGTGTTAATTGGACCAAATCAGAAATGTGTCATCTGTGGAGAGGAGTTCCCCTTTTCCAGAATCAAGGATCACAGCAATAACTGCACGAGGTATTACTCTCTACAGAACTAAACATCACATTCGCCAGGCACACTGCAACTGCATGTGTAGACACACAATAACCAATAAGCATAAGGCTGTGGGATGCTGCAAATGGATGTAAAATATTTTGACATATCAGCACATCTGAGGTTTTATAATTATGGGGCCAGATATTAGTACTTTTTGTTCCAACAATCCCTCTGTAACACCATATTCTGCTGTCCTCTATAATACATTTAAATATGAAAGATATACATTCTGGATGTTGGTTTTGAGGAAAAGTAACATTTGGTTTACTTGTCATTCTATTTATATGCCCATCTTTTTCTAGAGTGTGATATGTAATGTAAAGTATACTAGACCGAATAACAGAAATAACCTCTTTTTACACTAGACCATCACAGAGCAGCGGTGAGGTACAGATTGAGTTGACAACTGAAAGGGCCTCCGGAAGTCAAGTTAGATTTGAAAGCACGTTCACAGGAGCACAGGGAAATGAGACAACAAGGGCCAGGAACACAAGACACTTGGTGCCACCTCAGGAAATGTTGCCTTCTCCTGAGGTAGTTGACATCGATCCCACTGAGGAAAGTGGCTTCTCTGGTGTGTAACATCCTTTATTAAGTACATCATGTATTGCAATAAGTTGTTGCTCTCTACATTTCACTTGATCCAATATTAATTTGGAAACCTTTTAAACTATTTTTAGATTGGAGAATAGCGCCAGATCCCACAGAGGCAGCAAAGATGTTTAAAGAAGACATTTTAAGCCAGCATGCAACTGGAAAATCCTTGTGTCTGACTATGGATCTTGGAGACAGTGCAGAGGAAAGGGAAAGAGCAGTCCTTACTTTTTCTAAGAAGGCAAATGTTGAGTGGGCTTGCCCCTTGACATGCACACTTAAGGGTAATTCGGTTACAAACAAAATCCAAGATAAAAAAATGAACAAACCATATTTTCGTTAAACTGATGTCTGTAGTGTGTGTTTACATTTTTAAGGAGATCCAGCCATTGGTGATGGTGTGACTCGGCATTTCTTTGCAACCATCATATCAAAACTTCAGGCTGGTTTTGAGATGAAGTTTGGTAAGTAAATATTTACTATGGCTGATCGCTGGGTCTCAGCCACTAAGTTATGTGTGTTTTTGTACCAGTTCCAGGCTGAAAACAGATCTGTCCCTTAACCCCAGAAAACAAAACGTATTCCTAAAACCTGATGTGATTGTAGCTGCTGTGAACATGTAGGTTTCTACAGGATCAACCAGTATCCAGTGGCAGTTTGATCATTCCTTTACTAATGCTTTGTGATAGTTGAATATCTATGTCCTTTACTTTACTATCAATTTACTTTGACTGTTTTCCTATATTTGCAGTGCCTGGAGGAACTCTTCTTTTTGAAGGAGAACAAGATCATCTGATTCCCTCCACTTCTCATCTCCTTTTGGAGAGTGACTTCTTTGTTGTTGCTGGCCGAATGATTGGACATTCATTCCTCCATGATGGGCCATGCCTAGGTGGACTGAGTCCAGCTGTCCTGCATGTGCTCTTTGGTGGATCCCCGGAAGAAGCCACAATAGATATTAAGGACTGTGTTGACCTTGATATCCGTGAGACAATCAAGTTGGTATGTTCAATTTTTTTCTAACCTATTTTATTATTCAACCTTTGGATATTATTTATTTAGCTAATCTACTTTCAGATACTGTTAACATCAAGTGGCTACACTTTGCACCAGCAGGGGTTACTGAAGCATTATAAAACACCATGCACTGATATATTAAATATCATTAGAACACTTACAGATGTCCTCCTATAAGATGTTTTTTGACAAAACATAGCTTTTACAGGTTACCAACTAACATGCTGATTATAAGTTAAACTTCTTATGTTGTATCAAAGTTGAATGTTTATACAAGTATTGAGAAATTAATGATTCTTATCAAATTCATTCTACTTGCTATTATTAGCTGGAGGGAACAGCAGAGTTATCATCAGAAGAAAAAAAGCTCATCAATGAGTTGGCACTGTCCTGGGATTTGCCTCTAGTCACATGTGACAACAGGAGATGGCTATTTGATAAACTGATCCTCCATGCTGTGAGTAACAGGTCATATGAATCAGACTGACTAATCACAGTTGAAGTTTTGAAGTAGGACCTCATTTTGGCATATCACATTTGAGCTTTTTTGTTAAATACATATTTGGATGTTAATACGTGTATTAAAACATGCTTATTGGGCTATTAGATCAATCAGGCTGCTTTGCTTTTCTACTGTGATGCAAATATTGTGCAGGTCCTTGGAAGAACCTCCAGACAAGTCAAGCAGTTACGAAGGGGTTTAAAAGAGACACTGATCTGGCCTCTGCTGACGGAGAGGAAAGACACGATTCCCCTTCTCTTTCCAAGAGCATCTGATTTGCAGTGCACACCACGGGTAAGTGATCTCATGCTGCTCAGTCAAATCCTTCCTCCTAACTCACAGGAGTTAGAAATTGGGTTTATTTACTACTCTCAGACCTACATTGCTTTAAGTTTATTAAAACAAACATTCACCTACGCAAACATATTTTGAAATGAAATGATGCTGCTTAAAAGGAGCTAAACCAATAGAACAACTGTATCTTTAGACTACTCTGCTGCTACACAGCAAAACCTGCAGTTTCTTGTATGTTCTGTTTATTATTGTGCTTTCACTGGGCTCCTTTCAAAACGAAATCTGTCAGATGGTGTTGGAGAAGATAAACTGGCCCACACAGGATGAGGATGAAGACAGTGAAGTCTCTTTGGAGGATTCCTGCGCACATTTATTGAGATGGGTAAAACAACGTCTTCAAGCTTTGTTTACTGAAAGTTTGTAATTATTATAACGAAAGCTGCGCTTCCTCTGTTTTTATCTTTAAAGCTACAGTAACAATCCAAGGCGTAATTTAAGTAACATTATTGTTATTTAACTATTAACTGAAAGCAATTATAATAAAATGAATTTATTCTCTGTTTTATAAAGCATCTCCCGTTATCCTTGGGAAACTTGTGCAGTTCTGGATAGGATGGAATGTGCTTCCTAGACATGGCCTGGATGTGACCGTGGTGGAGAGCAACTTCCCCAGCTCTTCCACATGCTTTCACCAGCTGAAACTTCCAGGACATTACAAAGAGTACTGTATGTTTGAAAGGGACATTCTTGCTGCTATTTGGAGCACTGAAACTGGGTTCGGGATGGTCTGAAGAGACGGACACATCTTAGTACTAGATTTGTTGTCTTTCGTTTGGCCGGCCAAAAATGTATGTTTTCAGAGAGGAAAAAAAACTCAGTTAATGCCTATACTCCGGCCAGTTCGTGTAATACTGAAAATATATAAAGATAAACATGCTTTCCTTGTTATTGCACATAACAAAGAAAGCATGTTTATCTTTATATATTTTCAAAGTTTTAAATTGATATTCGTTACAAAATGTTCATTAACTGTAACAAATGTATATTTCTTGATGCATTACAGTAAGTGTTGATTCACAACAAGCATATGGTTCAGTGCAACACATGTTTCAAATGACTACTGAACGTAACTTCATTACCATCTAATTTTTATTGTATTCAAATCGAAATATACTGAATCTTGGTACCAGCGTCTTCATGTAACTCAGTCAAATATTGTCACCTAATCGTCCTAGTCGAAACTTTAAAAGACTACATTTCCCACAGCAACAGACTTTTGATACACACACACATTTACTGTAGCATTTCAGTCAATAAGCCCACAGTTTGTACATAGACATTCCAGACATTGGACAGAGGGCCATCAGGGTCTGGAAGTCTTTCCACTTCCTGGTCAGTCAGTGAACGTTGCAGCTGAACTTCAGGAACCATAACATGAGGCAGGCGATGAGCACATGGTCCAGTCCAGTCAACTCCAAACTCAATGTCAACCTGCAATTGCAAGAGCTAAAGTTAGAGTAAACCAAAATCAAAGTTTTAATATATTTGTCAGTTAATTCATTTTATATAACCTAACGTTTTGTATCATTTCCTGGAATTCCTGATTAATGTCTCATGAACAGCTGACATCAATCAAATCATTAGAGAGAGAGCAGAAAGCCCTGATGTATCATTATCTTCCTTAACCGCTTGTTCTGGTTGATCACAGCATTTTAGGAATACCTCATAGAAGTGTTTAAAGTGCCGATGATATGCAGAATAAAATAATTCCATCACATTCAGTTTCCTCGACAACAGGCCACTATTTGTTACATTGTGCAACTATATGCACTTTGGAATGGACCTCACTTGTATTATTTGTTTTAAACAGTTTGTGTAATGACAGAAAAAGTGGGTATTAGTGTTAACATGGTCCCATGTAGGAAAGTAAAGTCAAAATAAAACTATTGAATACAATCAAACCTGTATAGGTTCCTGCTGGGCCTCACGCTCATGGCGAGTCCACAGTTGCAGTGGGGACCGGTTTCCCTCAGTGCTTAGTCGGTGGCAGTTCCAGCCTTGCTGGAAAAACTGCAGGTGCTTCTGTATGTGGGGCACAAAGCACCAGTGCAGAGCATAGAGATGCACTTCACAGTCAGGATTGAGAAGGCCTTCTCTCTCTAGGTTGAAAAACATTGTGTAGAAGAGATCCAGCACTCCCACATAAACGTCTCTCCAGAGCCTTTCTATCCTTTTGAGGAAAAAGGTAGGAAAATATTTAGTCTGCTAAGTGAACAAAAAAAAACAACTTACAAATATCACCTTTCACCTACCATAAATGGTAAGTACATTTAGAATTGAATTACATTAATTAGAAGCTAAGTATTAACATTTTTGCCGATTTCAATAGGAAAATGTTCCTGATTAAGTGGCAAGTGCACAATAATGCCTCTGGAAAAAAGCTGGAAATTGGATTTATTAAACAACATTTTGCTTGAGCAAAGTTCATCAAACTTGGGTGAGGTTTTTATACTGTAAGCTTTGTTGAAACTGGATCAGGAAATATATCAGCTGAACATACTATGGATGTATAAAAAAAGACGGACTAATGCCATATTTATGCCACATTAACTGTTGTTGTTCAATATTAATGTAAGGTTCTCTTGACTGGAAAATACATTCAAAATCCAAGTTCCAACAGTAATTTGCCCGGTCATGCAACGTGCTGGGACTTCCACTAAATAGATGTTTGAAAAATATTGTTATCCTTCTTGTCAAATTATACAGTTGGTGTCATAATTATAGTGTTTGTATTATAGAAATATAACTTTTTTATTTCTATGGTTTTATTTCACAGAGGAAGACGAACAAAAATACAATTAATAATAGCTAAAGACATATAGTTGACATTGCAATCTTTACCAAGGACTTAATTTGATAAAAGTTTGACTTGAAGTTTAAGGTACCTTTGATTATGGACAGTCCTGCCAGCAATGTGTGAATTCCTGTTCTCTCCTCGGTTTGCCACCATGTAGCGTGCAACTGCAACGTCAACATTTTCTCCACCTTTATCTGACCTCACACGTGATGGCACACCGTAGACATTGGCGGCTTCCAAAAAGCTTCTTAAAACTGTTGCTGCCCGATTGTTGGTGGCAGCACTCAAGTACACGATGAGACGACTAAAGCCGTCAATACCACCATGCACAACAAAACGCCACCTAAAGGGATATGTATGTATAGGCACACATTAAGGTCAATCCACTAATGTATGTACAGACATTTACACATTTAAAAAGGTGCCTTATCCTACTAAAAGTTATATAATTACAAAACATAAATCATCTTAATTTTGATAGTAAAAGTAATTTGCATGCAGAGGAATTTGGTGCAATTAATCATTTGATACATTTCATTTATATTTCTTCTTGCAGTGTTTTAACTTGTTTTTATGTCTACAGAATATTGTATGTTGCATTGTTAGAGGAGACTGAGACTTCAGATTTTCATAACCAACCAATAAAAAAAGCTATCATGCATATGACAATAAAGCCTTTGAATCTTGAAGTCTGGTTTGCATTGAAGCTGATTGATTATAAGAACACTTTAGATGGGCCCATCTTTTGTAACTGTAGTGAAGTGGATGTTTGAGCAATGCTTGAGAGTGTTAATGATTATACTATACCTAATCAGTTTGTGATTTCCGTCGATGTGCCATAAACTGTTCGGTGCTGGTACAAAGTACTTCCTACGCCTTCTTGGGTTCAGCTGCAGAGTGCGAATCAAAACTCCACCTGGATCAACACGCCGCATGGATTCCTGGACACGCTGTCCTGTTATATTCGGGAAAATGCAGAGATATGGTGTACTGCAAGTAACATAATGAAAAGTAAAGCATTCCTAAATATGCCAGAATAATGTGATTCATTATCAAGTAGTAAAAAAAAAACACTGCATGGAGGATTATTATAATAATAACAATCCCTTACTTTGTATGCGTATCCCTCGTGCATTCAGGTACCCCACCATCATTTTGTATCCAGAGTTGGGATGATGCTGTAGAATTTGGGTAACAGTTTCATCCAAACTGTTGCCATCTAACAGAGTTAATAGATCTTGGACCCTGATCATCAAAAATAACGAAACAATAGTAAGTCACAATAAACAATAGTCACCTTTTGCACTGTACAATCAAAACACATCAGAATGAGTGTGTTGCTCTGTACTAACCTGCATTGAAAGATTTAGGTGTCATCTAAAACAAATTAGCTGGTCTCTTAAACCTCATTACTGTTATTAGGCCTACATCATGTCTGAGGTAATGGTACCTTTGCTTTGTGTACAAAGCATGTTTGTATCTTTGCCCCGACACATGTCACTGCAGTCAAGCCAGCCTCCACTTGGGAAAATACAGTCAAGCCAGCCCGCACGTGATATTGGGGTGCGCGAATATTAGAAGCATTACGGTAAAATCCCAGCGCTTACTCGGTCAATAACAAAAGCACCTATAAAAACAAACCAAACATATTAAATTAAGAAATATGTACTATATAATGTGATCAATAATTATTTAAAACAAACTACGTATAACTACCACGAGTAAATGTAAAATGTAAGGAGTTTCAAAATAAAAGTCCTTTGAAATCTCATATTGAAATCTCATATATGAGCTATCAGCCCTGTGTTTAGATAAGAATAAAACGAAATCTCTCCCTGATCCAAGACTCATCTCACTGCAGGGTGATAGAAGGACACCCCATCTACTCACCCAGAGAAAATCAGGACATTCTGATGTGGAGTTTCAAAATAAAAGACCTTTGAAATCCCATATATGAACTATCAGCCCCGTGTTTAGATAAGAATAAAACGAAATCTCTCCCTGATCCAAGACTCATCTCACTGCAGGGTGATAGAAGGACACCCCATCTACTCACCCAGAACAAATCAGGACATTCTGATGTGGAGTTTCAAAATAAAAGACCTTTGAAATCCCATATATGAGCTATCAGCCCCGTGTTTAGATAAGAATAAAACAAAATCTCTCCCTGATCCAAGACTCATCTCACTGCAGGGTGATAGAAGGACACCCCATCTACTCACCCAGAAAAAATCAGGACATTCTGATGTGGAATTTCAAAATAAAATACCTTTGAAATCCCATATATGAGCTATCAGCCCTGTGTTTAGATAAGAATAAAACGAAATCTCTCCCTGATCCAAGACTCATCTCACTGCAGGGTGATAGAAGGACACCCCATCTACTCACCCAGAAAAAATCAGGACATTCTGATGTGGAGTTTTAAAATAAAAGACCTTTGAAATCCCATATATGAGCTATCAGCCCCGTGTTTAGATAAGAATAAAACGAAATCTATCCCTGATCCAAGACTCATCTCACTGCAGGGTGATAGGACACCCCATCTACTCACCCAGAAAAAATCAGGACATTCTGATATATAGTTTCAAAATAAAATGGTAAGGTAGGACCCAAACACAGTGTTAAAACAAGGGAGGCAGATATTGAGGACAAAAAAACAAAAAACAAAAAGGAGCAGGCGAGGTAAAAGTGAAATCAAATTTTAGACAGAAATGCACTATTATAGTCCTTATAGTTTACTTGTGGTATTTGCTAAAGTGTATATTCTGATTTATTAGTTTTGAATATTATTATTTTGCAATGGATGGTTTTCAAGGTGTACAATTTATGTTACATTTTTCTCGATTGCTAACACACATCTTTTTTTAAATTGCTCACTTTCTCAGAACACTAAACACAATTCACAAAACCACACACCTAAAGTGCAAAACACCT